CATCTCAGCTGGTGAGAAACAGGTAATAATCCTGCTTCTTCCTTCAATTCAAAGGAACCCCTTTGAAGCTGCAGCGCTAGAACAGATTTCTTATGAGTGGAGGACAAATTGGTCCATCTTTAATTTAACGTACATGTGAAATGTCTGTGGGGATGTAGTCACAGATTAGGCAATAACTCCCACTCTTATGTTCATATCAAATGAAGAACGGGATTCAAACTGACTGGCAGGTCTTCAGGCTGTGGGAAGATCCTCAGAGAAACTCCTCACAGATACATCACATTGCATTTAGCTGATGCTTTTATCCAAAGCAACTTACAATAAGTGCACCAACCACGAGGGAACAAACATAGAACAGCCAGAGTCATGTAAGTACAATTAGTCTTCAAACTACTTGTGCTACATGTAAGTGCCATCATCATCATTTCTGCTGTCCTGATGTCAATGGGGAGCTTGTTCCACCATGTTGGAGCCAGGACAGCAAACAGTCGTGATTTTGTTGAGTGGTTAGCTCGCAGTGAGGGAGCAGCAAACCGATTGCTTGATGCAGAACGGAGTGGACGGGCTGGGGTGTAAGGTTTGACCATGTCCTGGATGTAGACTGGACCCGAACCGTTCACAGATTGGTACACAAGTATTAGTGTTTTCAAAAGGATGCAGGCAGCCAGTGGGAACCAGTGAAGGGAGCGGAGGAGCAGAGTTGTGTGAGTGAACTTGAATAGATTGAAGACCAGTCAAGCTGCTGTTTTTCTGGATGAGCTGCAGAGGTCGGATGGCAGACAGACCAGCCAGGAGGGAGTTGCAGTAGTTTAGGCATCTAGATACAAAGACGATGCTCTAAACACCAGTGGATCATACAAATGGTAAATGCTCTGTATTTTTATAGCAATTTTCCAAGCTCTTTACAGTTCAGTTTTGTCATTCAATCATTGGAACACACATTCATGCAGTGCATTTATGTGCAGCACTTTCTCTCACACATCACTCGGTGGACACCAGTGGAGGCAATTTGGGGTTTATTCTCTTATCCAAGGACTCTTCAGCACTTTGAGGGAATGGAACCACTGACCCTCTGGTGCACAACCCGCCCCACCTACTGAGCCACAGCTGTCCACGTTGACATGCCTTGCAAGTGCTGTCTCCATTTTAAATGTTGGAGGGCCAGTTCTGTGGATCTGGACTGCCAGTGGACAGTCTGCATGGAGGACAATGGTGGAGTTCAGTATCAAAAATGAATCCACGGATTTGGTTGAAGTTGTTTCTTCCTGTTTGTTTTGTACGTGAGTTTTATTAAACACCATCAGATATCACATGTTGTTGGAGGAAGTTCAGACCAGAATTTTCATTTTTAGACAGAATGAGAACTATCCACAGATTCTGTAAATTATATAACTTGCTCCATATCAAAGATTCTGAGCAAACAAAACCCTGAAGCCTCTAGAATGAAACAGAATGTGAATAATAGGCAGCGGTGTTGTCATACCCACTGACAGTACTGCAACATCAAATAAGCTTTGAAACCTTGAGCAGTTAAATCTCTACAGGACATGCATGCACTTGCAACCCTACCTTGTATATATCAGTATGACGGTTAAATCAGCCATTTATAATGGTATACTAAATAATTCCGCTTTGTAGTTCGTTTTTTTGTCAAATTCAATGTCTTTTCCTGCTGCTGTTCCTGTTATTGACTGAGTATTGGAGCACAGGCCTCTGACTCTGAGCACCCTGAGTCGCAGAGTGTATTATCCTGTCTCCATCTAGTGTTCAGTAGTGAAACTACACGTGGCCCTGCTGAGACAAACAAATCAATAAAACAAGCTGCATCTTGTCCCATTTGTCAAGAGAAAAGAGCAGAGATAACACTTCCTGAATGGGTCAGGCAAGAGTTGTTGTTCTTTTTCTAACAAGGACAAAAGTCTTGTAAATAATGAAATACAAGGTGAATCAGTGTCAAAGAAAAACTACAAGAAAGCATGAAAGTTTTTACTTTTCAACTTTTGTGAGCACCACCTCTATGTAAATGTTAAGCCTGGTATTGCTGTTTACATTTTTCTTTTTAGGAACATAACCATGTGAATGATATTCAGTGGGATCAGCCCCTACAGACATAATGTTGAAAAGACCTATTGTATAATGAGGACAGACAATTTCTCTTAATTTCTCCCAAGATGACTGTCCAAACATTAATATTGCTGTGTATTGTAAATTGACCTTCAGCTGAAACCTGGTGATATGCTCCTACCATGGGATTTTTCTTTTTTGATAGTTGATATTGTAGAGATAAACAGGAAATGAGAGAGCACAGTAAAATACATGATTGGTTTTATTTGCCTTACACATGCGGCTGTTATTCAGTTCACATGAAAGTTGTATTGTTTTAAGTATAGTTTATCTAGTATAAATTTCATGGGTGACTCAACAGGTCTGTGAGATTTGATTTAACGTCCTGACACAGTCTCAGAAAATGTCTTCGAAACACAATATAATGTGTTTGTGCATGTTACGGGAACAAGCTTTGTCTGTCGCATCATGCCCTCTGGCTCTTCTTTCACCTTCATCAGTGATGTCATTTCAGAATAATGTGCGTATGTGTGTGTGCTTGGGAAGCAGAGGGTGGATACAGTATGTAGAGCATCAACATGCACCCTCACTCTGAAGACTGACTCATCCCCATATATCAAGCGAACACACCCTCGTGTCCTGGCATCATTTCTCTCATGTTTGCTTGTTTTCTTTTCTGTCAGCTTGGCAGCAGAGGATGTCGAGGAGGCGGTACGGCCCGGAAAAAAAAGCAGAAAGATGCTTCGCTGATAGGTTCACATGTCGGAGAACTGAGGTAAATCCTCAGGTGAGTCACCATTTAACGTAAAAAATTGACCTGTTCCAGCACTTTCTGCACAAAGACGAGACAAAGCTGTGGGATTGTCACTCTGCACTGGATAATCTTTCATTGCCGAATACTTCTTGATTCCGTTTTATTTAATACATGGAAATTACAAACATATTCAGTTTGACATCGCATTACATTTTCAATCAGGTGAATCAATCAAATTTTATTTGTATAGCCTATATTCACAAATCACAATTTGTCTCATAGGGCTTAACAAGAGTACAGACACAAGTGCAATAGAGGCCTCATGTAGCTGAACACATCACAACATTACAATATTGATTAGAAGAAACATAATGGAAAGGTCTATCGAAGTTTATTTATACATTATCAAATGTCTAATTGAGCTGGAGGGAGCAGCAATGTAATTGAGTTATTGCCAGTAATGGTAGAAAATGTGAGAAGGCAGATTGTATATAAAGCAGTCTTGTTGTAATCATAGTCTAGGATCAGCCACCACCACGAACATGACCCACCATCACGATCCACAATCCACGACCCTCGATCACTATTTGAAGCTTTCTGAAGTCAGATGATTTCATTACATTTGTGCTGATTGAGCAACTGATGAAATGTTTATAAATGTCACTGTGCAGAAATTCAAATTCACTGTGAAGCATCATTATTTTTAAATCAATTTAATTCATGCTTCAGTAGACAAACAGCTCAAATGAGAATATTTCTGTGTCCTATTTTTTTGTGTTTGTCAGCAAAGCCAGGTTGATGGTGAAAATACTACTCAATCTTTTCTATGCGCCAGCTTTTCTATAAAGCAACAAAGGCTCTCCTATTTATCTGATGTAGAGATTTTCCTCTTTGTGAATTCTATCGGCAGCAAGAACCAGACGGCCAGCGCAGCCTCAGTAGCGAGCTTCTATCAGCCCACTTTCACTCTCAGAGTCTCTTGAGGACCCAGACAAGTAGATAAACTGGCTGTAGTGAGTGGAGATCTGTGTTTGTGCCAAAAAGGGAGGAGAAAGAGACATGCCGTCACTGAGTGCTGTCAGCCACACTCGCTTGTGAGTCAAGGTTTTCCAATGATTCACGTCTGTGCAGAAGCTGAGCAACGGGGCCCAAGTGTAGTCACTGTCCTCCTTTTTCTTATCCTCCTCTTCCTATTATTCCACTCCTCCTCTCCATTCATCTCTTTGTCTGTGTTCGCTTTCCTTCCTGCCTGCTAATTGTTGTTGTACCACACCATTTATTTCTACACTCAGCCTGCAGTGCTTCTCCCCGGGCCAGCTCCTTTCAGCAGCATCTCCAGGCCCTTGTTGGGAGACCTCCAGGATGTTCAAAAAAAACTCTCCCACACCCAGTAGCACCTGCGGGCCGGCGCAGCCCGACAGGGGATTTCACCGCACTGATGACGGGGCACACTCTTCCTTCCTGAGCCCACATAAATCTGTCGGTGGGCTCTGTCCTATAGTCTAATATTAAAGCTGTTTTCCATGACATGCTGCTCTGCAGGGGAGGGAGAGCTGTTGTCGACTTACATGAGCTGGTGAGGCCGGGATGAGAGGTTGTGGTTAGAATTTACTTTTCATGATTGTCCTCTGACCCTCTGGATGAGCTGAGCATTCACTAGGAGGGATCTCACTTGCTGTTGTTGCAGAGCTTTACCCATAAAAGCAAAATAAATCCAGAAATGCTAAGTGTGCATGATACACCACATGCACCTCTCATACTCTGCATAGCTCACGATTTTTTGCCTCACATAGCAAAACCACCATCAGTCTTGTCTTTCTAGCTGTCGGCCCACGCTTATATTTTACTGTGTGTAAATAGCACCTTGACTTTTTTCCTTCCAGAACAATGACAAGAATGGACTTGTAAGGACATTTTTCTAATGAGTGAAGGACCTCTGTCATCTCTTACCCCCGAGAGGTTGAGGCTTCTGACCTTAGGCTATAATCAAACATATAGACATGCACACACAGACATGCATGCACACATAGACATGCATTCTCGCACTTGCACACATGCCACAACAACGTGTCGTGTTATGTGGAAGACCCGAGAACCAAATAAATGAAACTTTTTTCATGAAATGAAACAAGAATGATCTCATTTTAACATTTAATTCTGAAGTTTAGAAAATGATGTACAAGCTCTTTACAATTTTACAAACACTGGGTCCACAGATCCACAGAGACTTTTTATACAAACAGAGAATAAATACATTTACAAATGTTGAACTTTGGGCTGTAATCAGAATCACTTTTCTTTAGGATCCACTTTCCACTACTGTGTAGGAACAGTTACAGTATACCACAGCAAATGTAGCCTGTTGTGTTCCATTTTTGTCGATCAGTCAGCTTATTGCTCTCATGGTTTCACACATTAAGTAAAATAATGTTCAGTAATTCAGCAATTTTGCAGCTTTAACAACTAGAACACAATTCTGGGGGTTTATTATCCACAGCAGATTGTACAACATTCTTTGAGTTGAACATTTTGAAATGCAAGGTTAAAATACTTTTGTTAGTGTTTACAACATTCTGCAGTCTAGATTGCCATTGCACTTTTATTTCTGTCTGTCAGTAACATTTAGATGACTCGACAATAAGAGATTGTTCTTACTACACTGAGGTGATTGCAACAGCAGAAAGCACAAAAACCTCATGTCACGTTTCTCCCTGAGGTGGTTTCACAGTCCACTGGTGTCGTCAGCGGTCGTCAGGGCTCACAGTGGTGGATGTACCTGTTACAGTATGTCAGCGCACAGAGACAGGCTGTGCTCCATCTCTGACTTGTAGCTCGCCTGCCATGGAAGCCCCAGAGCAGGAGGCGGCTCCACAAAATTGTCCACATATCCCTGTTTGCAGGAGGCCCACATCCCCGGCTGGTACCCCAACCCCTCGCCCACCTGAGGGTACCGCAGAGGACTGGGCGGATGGTTGTGGGGGCTGCTGCAGTGTCCATGTGAGGCGTAAAGCTGTCCCTCAGTGGGATAACAAGGATAGTGTGGTGACGGAGGACACGATGACACCGTGTTGTCCATGTAGACATGTGGCTCCGTGGGCAGCCTGTGCACGTGAGGCCCTTGTTGTGGCTGCATCTGGTGAGAGATGGACGTGTGCCAGGGGATGTAACTCTGATGCTCTAGACGAGGAACCGATACCCTGGTTTGGTCTGGTCGAGATACCCCCGTCCCAGCTGCCCCCACTGTGGCCCTGTTGCACTCCCGGTGGCTGCAGGGCTTGCTGGGAGGGTTGGAGTTCAGGAACACTGAGAGAGCAGAGATGCGGTTGATGGCCCTCTGCAGCGTGGCGATCTTTGAGAGCCGCTTGCCATTGAGGTCATGGTTCAGAGCAACACGCAGGGCATTGAAGGCCTGGTTGTAGTCCATGATGCGTTTTCGCTCACGGACATTGGCAGCCATTCTTCGAGCTTTTGAGCGCACCGGTCGATTGCGCTTCTTGGTCTGGCTTTCCTCCAGGTCACTCGGGCTGCTGACTGAGCTCTCGCTGTCTTGGAAAGACGCCTTGGGACTCCCCTCGTCCTCTCCTTCTCCCAGAACACCAAGCTCCAGCTCCTCCTCAGAGAATTCTGATCCTTCAACACTGCTGCAGCTCATTCTGTCGATATCACTGACGAATAGACAAGTCTGACGAACGTCTGGGCACTTGTAGCTGAACAGTCTGTGTTTGCAGCCTGCGAGTGCTCCCTGAGTATTTGTCTTTGTGGGGCTGTCGGTATTCGCTGCTGTGCCGACAGCCCAGGTATTCTCCTCCTCTGACTCCTCTGCTGCCTTGTGATTACTTGTACCTCGACAAGACAGGTTGGCCTGCTTTTAAAAGCTCTTGAAGTCACATGGCACAGTCACCTTTGAGGAATGGTGCACTCTCTCTCTCTCTCTCTCCCACTGCAGGTTTATGGGCGCCCTCCAGGCAAATGGCACTGTCACCTCCTCCTCCTACTCTGACTCTCCCTCACATCTCTTACAGGATCTTACAGAACAGTTTCAACACTGCACATCAGTGTAAAAACAGAATCTAATTATTTGGAAAAACAGCTCATTTTACACTTCCTCTAACAGTTTTATAAATAATTTGATGTGTCTGTTTTGCAACTCCAGTGAGTTGGGGAGTCAACATTGCTCAATTTTCTGTTATTGTGAAGAACAACACTTAAAGGTGCAGTGTGTAAGATTTAGGTGAAAGGGATCTATTAGCAGAAATATAATGTAGAATAATCCTCATGATGTTTTCACTAGTTCGTTTCATCTAAATTGTATGAACTGTAGTTTTCTTTATCCTAGAAAAGACACTTTATATTGAAATACTTTATATTTACATCAAGGGGACCCTCTCTACGGAGGCCACCATGTTTTTTACATTAGTCCAGACTGGACAAGCTAAACACCTTTTGAGTTTTTGTGACAACTGAAGCTACCACAGGTTCTTTTTCATGTTTGGAAGGAGAGGGTGAGGTGAGGGGTGTTCAGCTGCAACATAACCCTTCAACACTAGATATCACAAAATTCTACACACTGAACCTTTAACCTGAATGACCACCAACACTCTATCTCTGTCCATCTACATCTCTTTCTTTTTATCATTATCTATGACGGGTTATTTGTCTACATCTGTCTTTCACGAATGTTCGTCTCAGGGACATTTGTGACAAACTCCATTTTCCAAGTGGCCTGATCCATTAAGCACATTTCCCCTTTTCTCAGGTGCAGGACGAGAGGAACCTCCTTATCCACCGTAGGTTAGATTTGTCCTTGCAATTAGCTGTCTCTAGAGTGGCGATTCTCTCCTGTCTGTCCGTCTCTCTCTGCTCAGGTTTAAGGGCCATGTAATTTAGAATAGCTTCCCTGGAACCCGTCCCCATAAATCAGGCCTGGGCAGCACCTGAGGACAAGAGTAGAACGAGCCTTCGACTTCAAAGAGAGGGAAAAACAAGGGCAAAAATTTTACAATTAGAGCCTGCAATTACTGCGGGCTTGACTATCGATCTTTCGTAGTGAAGACGTGTTGACTTTTTCTTTTTCCAAATGTTTTTTTAAATAAAGAAAATGCTTTTAAATAATATTTTATTCATTACTCGGTAAGTTGATGAGTTACACGTAATTTTTTAAACAAATACTCACCAGATGCAGAATATAAATAGACGATCCTGTGTTTTATTAACACATCTTAGTCCTCTTTAGACAACATGGTCTGGCATTTAATACTGCAGCTGCAGGAGAAACCTATAACCACATGCAGGATCTCTGTATCAGATATGTAGACAGTGAAAGGTGATTGCACTGACCTTTAGCCAGGCTCCTGGCCAAGTGCAACGGGTCAGGTAACTAAAGGGTAGGACCTCAGACAGTGAACTGGGGGTCGTTGAGAAGCATTGCTTCCTTCCTGCCCTCTTTGTTTTATTATGCGTGTTGCGGCTCAGAGACGCCAACCTTTAAAGCAATTACAGCCCAGAGTTTCAGTTCTAAAAGCACAGCTCATGATTTGAAGTGGGAAAATTCAGTCTGGTCTTTTTACTGTTGTGTCCAGAGAATCAACTTAGACCTGGATTATTCACTCATTATAAAGTTTTCCATTTGTACACCTCCAAGTGTATTGTCATATAAATAAAGATAAATGCTACGATTCGTCCTGAGGTTTTGCACAATTTATTATTGCTACAAGTATATTGCAAAATACTCTCTATGACACTGAATAAACCAGATCGATTTTATACAATGTTAATAACAAATAACAATTATTCCTTTATTAGAATTTAAAGACCCGGATCTAAAAGCCATTCATATGAAAAAGTTGCAAATGTTTGTGTTTTCTAAATTCGCATTTGACACTAAATCAAATGAAATTTGTCACAAGCCTACTGATCCCTTCTATTTAATAATCACTACTAGTAATGTTCACAACCTGAATATGATGCAGTTTTTATTTGTGTCATTGGTTAAAGCAGTTTAAGCACAAGATGATGTTAAAGCATTGACTTAATTTCTGTCTTTTTTGTTTTGCATTGAACCGATGGTCCATTCCTGGGCTGTTGTAAAGTAGCCTCTTAATTGCCACACCTTTGAAATAACCCTGCTGATCTACTGCATACCTTTATAGCTTCAACTGTTTGAAATGTTCAGTGCCGACTGCTCCGCTCCGAGGAGTATGCAGGCTCTATCACATGCTGTGATTTATGGCTTCACAAACATGTCAGATTTACTGCTGTGGTGTAAAGAGCATGAAGACTACAGCCTCGGACTCTCCCAGTCCATTCATTTTTGACAGGTGACAAGACACCAGTAATTATCAGCCGCCAGGAATAAATCACTAGATTTTATCACGCTGCTCGCCGTGCCCTTGATGGAATAACCATTTTCAAGCAAGGGGAACCTGTCCAACGCCCCTGAACCTTAGATTTGTAAATCTCCTGCTCTAGCCCCCATAATGACTGGTTGTTAGTCGTTTGTTATTAGAGGTCTGTGTGCCAAACATTATAGATATTTCCAAAGGGGTAGTTAGGGGTAATAAGTGAGTAAGGTCCGGGTTCGCTAACCTTGGCTTTGCAGTGGTATGTTAATGCATGTTTTTGGTGTCTGTCATGGAATTTTCTCACCTTAATAAAAAGCCTCCAGTCAAAAAAAAGAAAGGGTTGCACTTATCTCTGTCCCTCCACTATTTGTCACAACACAATCCCTTAGGAATAGTTAATGTCTGAAAAATCAATGTTATCAAGTGTAAACTGCCAGTCTGTGGCCTTTCATGGCAGTTATGCTATTTGTCATAGTCTAATCGCTTTTATTGCAAAAATACTGCATTGCCGTCTCTGTGAGGGACGGGATTTACATGGAGCATTAATTATTTTCAGGACCAAAGTTTTCCATGTTCCAGTAATGTCAGAGTAAGTAAAACAACACGATCCTTTCCGGTTCTTTGTGAATTATGTGTTACCCAAGTTTACTTGATAGTAGTTTACTCATGTTTTTTTTGTTTTTTGGTGCAAGGATAACTATTCAGTGCCAGTGTTGGAGGAAGTAAAAAAATGTTTTCCCGAACTAAAGACGTGTCACATTGTAAAACTAGTCTCCCTCAATTCATTCAGATTTCTACTCAGGTGAAAGTAAAATTATATCAGACAAATGAAGTTGCATCAGAGTAAAACTACATGTCATGCAGAATTGTCCTTTCATTACAGTATATATTCATTTAGTGGGATTGTATTACAGATACAGTGACATGTAGGCAGCATTTGAACATTACAGCTGGTTAAAATGACTTCTAATACATTTTTATCACTGCTGGATATTTGAATGTGTAATTATGCATCATGTTGGTGATGTTACAAGTAAAATCTTAATTGTAAAATTAACGAGTATAGTAAGTAGTAGTGCACCTTAGGAAACCACATTTAAATTCAGTAGATTTTTATTTGGATTTGCATTCAATTGCACACACTCATAAATATCAGTTTCTTAAGAGTGCCTGATTTTTTTCTCTCCTTGGGCCATCGCCCACACCCCCACAAGACTTTCCTAGAAACAAACAACCAAACAAACAGATGAAAACTCGCCCTCCTTGGCGGGTGGGCTGTGGCCTTTACCGTCGCCGACGAGCAACTCAGCCGCTCAGTCCATCTTTCATTTTTTATCTTTGCTGTCAGAACCGAATGCTGCTGACATGTCTGATAGTTTCAAAGCATCCAGTGAAGGAGACTCTCAGGCCTCCCTGAGTCACATACTCTTCCTGAACAAAGTGAGACATGAAGTCTTAAAGAAACATTTGAACATTTGACAAAAGAAAAAAAAAAGATCGGAGTTATAGTCGGGTTCAGTATGAGCTGTTCTACTCCTCCGTCAGCAGACGTACTTGGGTGAGACACGCTTCTTGAATTTTGGTGACATGGTGAGAGAGTGTCTACATTAGAGATCTCATCCAACCTGTTCAAAACAAACTTTGCTGAGAGCAATCCATACTGACACAACAAATGTGAATCATTCTGTCTGAAATTACTGGCACTTACGTGTAGCTGGCTGCTGTCAGAGTGCACGGCAGCTATAAAATCTCTGTTGTTGACTTGAAACGATGCCCCAGGTACTATAGCAGGCACAGCCCAGCATCGAAAGTGTTATTCACACAATATCTGTCACAGCGTTGGCTATTAATCACAGAGCTGTGTTGAGGTGTTTTCTCCAACATTAGAGACGTTTCCAGGGCTGTATAAAAAAGTCAAAACGATGGTTGTTAAGAGGAGGAAGAGCATACCTTGATTAAGGCCTATAAATCCTGCAGGTTGTCATCATCTTTCATCAAGCGCTTCATCATACCAGGATACATTTGCCAGAAAAAAGACACAATTTAACATTTGAATTCATTTTTTGTATTATTCACATGAATTCATTTATATTTATTATACAAATTAATATTTCTTGATATGTAAATATATTTTGTTTGAGGTTAACCCTTCCTTTATAATGATAGTGACCAACTGATTAATGAGACATGTTTTTTCAGTCAGGTCATAAAGGTGGGCTGATTGCTGTGTGGGGGAAAAACAGCACTTTTAATGTTTGGGTCACTAGAAAATCCTGTGCTCTCTAATTTAGCCATAAGCAGAACATACTGTAACCTCTGCTGTTAGTGATTTACACCTTGTAACAAAACCATGCAAATCTGTCAGTACTGATGTCATGACATGTCTAACAGTTTCCTCCGCATAGGAATGTCAGTACACTTCCTCCCCTGCCCTAAATACTTGAATCACAATATGAATCACTGGTTTTTACAGGAAAGCATTTACTGTAGAATCATATGAGCTGAAAAACCGAAGGCACTGCTGAGAAAGACCTGTATTTATTGCACGGTGC